ACCCAAAAAAACAAGTATATGTAGTTTTAAATGACCATTATTTTAATATAACACATAAATCAACAGGTCTGTACGCCGGACTGACTCAGATAACACATAACTACTGCACGGCCAGGTTTGACAGGCGTATTGAATAGCTTCCTTGATCCTAGTTTCCGTAGCCTGTTTAAATAGCCCCTCTAGGCAACTAGAAGCAAGACGGCGGTGTTACACTTTGTGAAACCTGGTCTTCGAGGAGTTATGAGTTATTACTTTGATATACTTCGTGTTTATAAGTCTAACATCAATGATTTAATTTAAATAAAAAATTCAAAATGAATTACTATGTATAGAACGAAGTGAAGATGGGCCTGTCATATGGTTCGAAAGAAAGACAACCGGTGGACGTCAAAGATTACAAACTGGGTTCAGCTGGTTCACTGGGTCGTTTATCCTACAGAGTGCTCGTGCTTTACGCTACGAACACGCTAGAACTATCCGATAATCAAAAATCACTTGCTCGGCAACAGAGGCAGAAGGGATAGAGCAAACTGCTGGAGGTACATCCACTTGCGTTCATAACGCCTACAACATAACGAGGACTGTCAGATAAAAAAATGAATTTTAATAACGTTCTCTGCCAAAAATTGCCTTCGCTCAACCCTCTAGAACAACCGACCGAGGGTACGACCCTTATTTACGTAGTGACCAGGGTTTGGGGAGTGACTTGTGTACTCTGAAATGGATTTGTACACAAAGTTATGACTGTTGAAAATTAAAAGCTCATCCACGTGAATGTAACTGTCGCTTTTATCGCTGTGTGCTTTTGACCAGTGATGAAGTAATTTTAAGTTTAAATCAAGCAGGCAGCACCTCACGATCTGAACATAAGCGAAAATGTGCGGCATCTAAGAAATACGGCAAAAATCTGTCAAATAAATGAGCAGAATTACTTCCTCTTTCTCGAAATCCCAAGTAACCGTTAACGACGGCTCAAATTTCGAAAAAGTGCTGCCACTAGAGCTGGTCAGTCGCTTTCCAGTCTGCATATGGACGTGAACCGGTTCCGCGGAAAGCAGGTCGCGGCCCAAGTCGTCCCTGGGGGTCAAAGAAGTCACCTAAAGAGAAAGAAAAAATTATAGGGTTCAACAGACCATGGGATGACGTTTAGCCTTTAGAATAAACTTACGATGCCTAAATGCCTGCTGTCCGACGACTGCTGCTCACCGTCCATTTCGGACATGTCCATGGTGTCTTTGATGCGCTTCGCCTTATCTTTGGCGTCGAAAGAGCCATCGGTCGACTGATCAGAGTTGGACTGCTGTCGCTTGAAGCCTCGTCGCCGTTCGGACATCACCTTGAAACGGATCGGACCGGCGTTTTGATCTTTGGAAAAAGCGCCTTTAACGCGCGATTCAGTCTAAAACATTTTTTTAAGAAATTTTGTTATTTTCACACCTCATGCCTGGGCGTTACGGGCTAGCTGCGTACCGCTGTTTTTAGCTCATCGTCAGCCCCGCCAGCTGAACTGTCTGACTCTTCGTGTTTTAGATCCGAATGTGACGAAACATCGCTGTCATCGTCGATGATGCCACCGTGCCTCACCACCCTTCCCATCACCTTCGTCATCGTACTAGCCACGAAATGCAGAAAATTGTCGAGCGGCAGAATATATGCGACGCGTCTTTCCAATTTTAACTAAAAAATATCATTAAAACAACTTTCATGCATCCAGCGATGGGGTGGATTTTACATGACAAAAATGAGACACTCCGGATTCATTACCGACAGTCATGAAATTTCTTCACGGGCCGATAAATAATCCGTAGGGAGGTTTCAGTCAAAAACTCAGGGCACTGCTACCTGCAGTCGTTAATATTTGATGTTTAACTATGCAGCAACCCCTACGACATTAAGAAACCGATAAAAAGGAACTCCGCGACAACAGAAAACAAATCTCTTCTGCATGTCTCACTTCAGAGAACTTCGAATATTACTACGTTCTTTTTCAACGAGCGAAAAAGGGTACTTAATAAAACAGGTCAGATCGAAATAGATCCGGTTAAGCTAGTGTCCAGTGTACTTCAAAAGTGTGTTATAACTAATCGCCTTTGACGGCTTATTTATATCTGTCAATGGTCATCTTACTCAAGGAAATATCTCCCTATCGTTTACTCAAATCTAATGAGACTGTAATGCCTGTCTACAGAGACGCCAATATTCTGTGAAATAAACTGAACCATCGAGTGACACAGACATCTTAATCTTATCACAAATCACTAGCGATTTAATATATAGCCAAGACGCTGGTTGGGCCTGAATTTCTATGCTGTATATAGTTCGTTCATAGTTCCAAGCAGGAGAAGGAAGACAGATTAGTAACACTATAGTTTAACCCCATATTTAAAACAAGTACCCGGTTATCTGAGAGTTGGATCTTGCTAGGTTTAATAAAATTTCACTGTTAATGTTTGGGTTATCACTAACAAAGATTTTAGTTTCTTTAAGATGTAGTTTCTTTATGTGTCAAATGCCGACTTGCGTGAAGAAGTTTTAGTCCTGAGGATGGAGACCATATACTAGGTTGTCACAGTTATCGATTGGAGACAGTGTTCTGCATCGCCTCTTTGATATGGCTGATTTACGGAAGGACAAACTGCGGCTGTTTCCTTGTCGCTCTGATGCGTTGTTTGAGTAGCCTTCTTTCCATACTCCAAAGTGTAACGAACTACGTGAACCTAGCACAAGATACCAAAAATACAGTTTCTTCATACATGTCGGCGTGGCATTTAAAAAGAAATAAAATAATCTTAAAAACTGGCCATATTCATTTTGCAACATGAATTAATAAACAATGTTATATGGTGTTTTTCCAGTAAGAAACTTTTGACTTTTCTTATTTAAAACTAGTCATTAGCTGAATTCAATTTCCATGTCCTTCCCGATAGGGGAGGCTGACACGTCAGTGTTTAAGGTTCAGCATAAAACGCCCGGAGTCTAGAGCAGACTTCTTCAATACACTTGCACTAGGCCATTCTTGGCCTTCCCCGGGTCATCAGCCTGCTGCCTGAGCAAGTAAAGAGCTGTTTTGCCTTTCTTTCTAAAGGCATTCATAATACATGCCCAAACCATCGCAGTTATAACTTCTCAATCTGGAGAATCAACGGCCGCATACCAAAACTCTTACTGGTATCTGTATTTCAGACCATGTCGAGGGAGACATGAGGACAACGACTATTCAGACGACAATTTCCGCTGCTTAAAATCGGGATTGAGATTTTTCAGTCATGACCAAAGATTCATGACGGTCAGGTGAGCACTGGGATAAAGATAAACTTGAACACAGACAGCTGTCAGTTTTCTAACAGGTAAAAGCTAACCTGTAAAAGTTGTTAAACTGTTCATGTAAGAAAGAAGAATGTTGGCAGAGGAATGCCACGACCGTACCAGAAAAGGCACTCTGGGCATTTCAACCATTTAGAAATGAAACGAACAATATGAAAGTAATACCAGTCGATAAAACGAACCAATTATTGGAGAAACGCCTGCGGCAAACTTCTTGACAAACACTTTCAGATCTAGTTTTGTCTTCTTCAAAATAACATATGAGCAAAAATGACATGGAGTATCTTTAAAAGACTGTCTGTGTCCGAAGCGGGTAACAAACGTAGACATAAGCCTCAAAACTATTCATGAACTACAAACTCCATAACGTCGCATCGAAGCATACGCTGGAAATATGAAAAAAATGAAGACGAATGAATGGGTACGATCACGAAAAGAACTATGGGATGTCACTGCAGAATGAGAAACAAAATAACTATATACAAAACTATCGATAAATTAGTAATAACTAACGAGTATCAACCGTACGGCAGGTGATCAAAGGATTCATTGCCCACGGTTTTTGATCTGGTATTATTCTCAAGACGCGATAAATAAGCGGTGTGATACTAAGCTGTTAGATCTTACAGTTTACAGCGATCTTTGTTGAGTAACAGCGTAACAGGAATAAGACTGTAATATGACGAATGAAGAAATTGAAGTCGCAATGGGCAGGACACGTTGCAAAACGAAATGCCCAGAGCTGCATTAAAACCCAATTAAAGCAAGGGTAAACTGTCCGTAAGAAGCAGCTCCATATCTGTCGCAGGATGAATGGAACAAGTTCATTAGATCACGAATAAGAATCACACAAATCATAAGTATATGGCAAAGTCTGGGATCGACAAAAACTAAAGATGACAGTATATTTGATCTATATAGTAAAAACAGATAATGTCAGACAAGGACATCGAAGTTGAACGTTCTGAGCTAATTCTGAACATCGGCAAGAACACTACCAAATATGGCACAAAATTCACTGACACGTCGCTCGTTTGGCGTCCTTCCCACTGGCATTCCAAAGATCTTGCAATATGCGGAATTTGAAACTGATGACTAGTAAGCCAACACTGCCGTTACCGGTCCCAAGCGCGGTTGAGAAAGGAGGAGAGTTGGAAACCATGGACAAGTGTCCGTAAACCTTCTCCACCTGCCACTCATGGTACTGAGCTCATCGAAAATATACCGGCTCGGTCGTTGCTCGGATAACCAAGGGTAGCGAAGGCTGTTTGGGGACTGAGGCAGACTGCGGAAGCCGGAGATCAGAACCTACTCATCACCCTCTGCCAAACAAGGGTATAGCAGCACAACAACGGCTAACGAAAACGGACGGAACGACGACGAAGATACCAGTTAGCAACGGGGTCGCTACCCGTTCTGGACGGAGGAGGCTGACAGCGCGATGCCATTATAGCACGTCAGAAAAAGGCCCGCGAGAACGACAACACCAG